CACAGTCACTTCCCTCTTCGCCCGCCCCTGTCGCCTTCCCCCTCCCACAAACAGACATGCACATACACACTTTTTGAGGTATTCTCTACCGTTTTCTCTCTCATCCACACACCCATGCAACGATTGAACATGGCCTGTGACAGCACAGACACCAGATATTGAGGGGAAAAAGGGCACAGCGAACACAGCTCACTCGCTTGCGCTCATCGATGTACAGACTCATCCATTGTGTCCATGCATGCACACACATGTCATATACACATTTCACGCGACAGAACTCACTTGCACATGTCATGCACGTAGTAGCATGAAGTAGTATGATCACATAAATGTCATTTCCATGGCATTGCTAACACGCAATCCACGTGCGCAGAGGACTTGAAAAGTTGAAGACGAGTGTGTAGCAACCACTCCTTGCTCGCTCACTTTCTCTTTTGGAAAGAAGACAAGTCGGCGGCAACCACTCCTTGCTCGCTCGCTTCCTCTTTTGGAAAGAAGACAAGTCCGAGAAGCACGTGCACAGCAGCTCACTTTTGGCATGCAGGGGTTGTTTCTTATGGAGGGGTGCCTTCTGGCATCTATATGTATAGAGGGGGTGTCTAATATGCAGAGGGTTTGACAGAGGAGTACCTACTACATTGGCTCTCCGTCCCTCATCCACTCCCCTTCCCCTCCCTCCTCCCACCTTGCTCTTCCACGAACTCCACGCCCACGGACCTGTATTCGATCCGCTACAGGACTGAGAGCACATAGGGCCCAGAGCATGGAGTGCAGCATAAGGGAGGGAGCGGAAATGCAATGGTGATGAGTGCATCTCTTCGGGACGATGGATTACCACGAAGGCGGTGACCTCCGTTTTGCGAGACACATGGCATGTGTGATGGTATTTGATATATAGTTTAATGATAATTATTTTATATTGAACGAGTTAATTATTAACTTAATTATGTCATGGGCAAGAAGCTCTGCGTTTCTCGGACTATCGAGGTCTGTCACGACAGAAGTCACGGGTTCGAATCCCGAAGCTGATAAGGAACTCCAAAATGGTTCAGTCAATTTCGTTTGTTTGATGAGGATGCGGGCTTTTTTTGGTAGGCATTTTTTGTTGTGACCGGTCATTCTGGGTGTTAATTCCCCCTTTTTATGAGCTTGCTTAACAAGTTAATACCTCCTTTTCATTCGCGTACTCGGTGATACTGCTTTTATTATCACCAACTCCATAAAGGAGTGTGTGCATTGATTCATCGAACGTCAAAGTCATAATGCTCAACATGTGAAAGCCATTAAGCTTAGCATGTGAAAGAAGAGTCGAATCGATCTTATTATGAGACTCCATTAAATGGAGTCCATTTTATGGAGGACCCAAGATTTGGCGACCGGTCCATCTTTTTTCTCGTTTTTTTTTTTTTTTTTTTTTTTTTTTGGTTTTGATGAGTAACCCCCCCATCGTCATGTCAATGTGAGCCACAAGTGCGTAAAAAGCGTTCATCAGTTTCGTAGCAAGAAGCTGTCAGCCTCCAATTCAACGGCTGGACATTATCAAATAGAAATACGGTTTAGTTCAGGCCATTTAATGCATAAAATTGTTATAAATGCCTTTAGTGGTAAAGTTGGTGAAGTGTCCAAAAGCGAAAATCCCACATCTGCGCTGCTGTGATGAGAGAAAATGGTTTTCCTCAAATTTGCTCAAGTTTTCCATATAATTGAGGACCCAATTTATTTTTATGCAAGCAAGTGTACGGTTCGGCAATGGCTCCTCGATGCCTATAAAGTAGTAGAAACTTAGAAAGGCGGCAGTTATGATATTTCACATACATACATTTGTAGGTATGCGCTGTGATGAGGGGAAAAAAAAAACAAAAACAAAAAAAAACGTGTAGCGTGAGCAGTCTAGCGCGTGTCAAACTCTCTCTTTCTCCATCCCTCCCTCCCTGGCTTTTATGTATTTGGGTCTGTATTATAATATACTATTATTGACTCGTTCGTATTTGGGTCCACATCTGCTGTGTTTTACAATGGTGGACCTAAATACATTTGCTAGAATTTGGTTATGGGTTTTGGAAGCGTATTTAGAAAGGTCGATATAAGATCGTGTATCTCGATTGCGTCAGGAAGAGGGTTGGTAAAAATGCCTATCACAAAGTCATCTGCGTATCGCACATAGCTACGACGTCGAAAGTTTGTCTGCCACTTTGTGCTTGTCGTATTGCTCCTTTAGGGTCTCATATATGTATTTGTCCAATTGATGTAACGTAATGTTGCATAGTAGAGGCGTTCGCGAGAATGTAAGAGCATATCCAACACTTATTAGGGTTTTGCTAAGTATGGGTTCATTGCAGACCACGAACTCGCTAGAAAGTAATTCTAGTGCTCTTGAAGGCAGGTCCTACCCCCCAAACCCACTTATATACTGCGATGTGCTTCCCTCCCTCGCCACCCAATCCCCACACCTCCCCCCCCCAACACACACGCACACACACACACACACACACACACACACACACACACACACACACACTCCCCTGCCCTGCCAAACTAAAAGCACCCTGTTCTTCCCGTCCACTACCGATGAACTTCGTTCAGATAAAGAATGTAAGTGCATGTGTTGTGAAGGGGTGCGGAGTATCTTTGACGGCACGGGATCTATGTTATCTCCGATTGCGGAGGTTTGGACTTAGGCTCGGTGGCAGTGTGTGTACAGGTGGGTGCTCTCTCCCGAGTCATGGACGATAAAAGAGTCCGATCCGATCAGCAGCAAGTGCCCCTTTTGCTTTCTCAAACGCTAAGTACCAGCACCTCTTGGATTTTGTCACAGCCCAAGTAGCAGCACCCCTTGGATTTCGTCACACACTCGGTAGCAGCGTTAAAAAAAAAAAAAAAAAAAAAAAAAAAAAAAAAAAGGGAGTAGGGTGATGGGTTTCCTTCCTCTCACTCCGGTAGATGTCTTGACAGGGTATGACGCCTCTTCGGTTTTGCCCTTCTTTTTTCTCTGTGACGAAAAGGGGTCGTGGGATGCAGCCACGGATGATTTCAAGAGGCCGATGCTTTATGACAGTGTACCCTTCTCTATCATTTGTTGGGGGCTCTTCAGTATAGATATAACTACAGCGCAACCGCCCCCCCACCTCCCCAAGGGGGCGAGGTGGGGGTGGGGTTGCTGTAGTTAGGTATGAATCGTCTCATCTCTGATTCCAAGGTAAACAACAGGGAAGTACTGCGCTGACCCGATGGCCTCCACGTCAAGGAGTTTCGACTTCAGAGTTCAAATGATAATAAGTTCGGACTTCAAAATTATTTAAATTTATTCTGATCTGCACGTGCCCCAACCTATGGGAATTCCATATCCTAAGCCCGGCAGGACCCCTAGTTTTGGTGCCGCGCCAGAGCTAAGGAAAGAGGTTGTGTGGTAGCACAGGAAGGGAGGGTGAGAAAATGGGTTGCCATTGTTGAACAAGTAGTAAATGAGAAGAAGAGGATTGGGGGGTAATGGGGGGGTAAGAGGGGGGGGGGAGGAGAATTGCAGGTATTTGTCATGCTTTGCAAAATTTTGCGGCTTTCACTTTCTTCCCTTTGGAAATGATCACTTCCAAGTTCCAACCTTTGCATTTTCTCTTTATTTTATTTTTTCCAAACTTCTGCATTTTCAGGGCTCTTCCTTATAAGTGGTTCACTTACTCTTCTTGATCCCCATTTCCCCTCTCTCTGGGCCATGTTCTCTCTCTCTCTCTCTCTCTCTCTCTCTCTCTCTCTCTCTCTCTCTCTCTCTCTCTCTCTCTCTCT